ATGGGATTTGGGATTTGGGAATGGGATTTGGGCCCCGGGCGCTTCCTGCGGCTCCGGAGGCTCCCGGATCCGGGCTCTGATCCCAAACGGGGCCCGGAATGAGGGAGAGGGAATTTGGGATTTGGGAGTTGGGAATGGGGAATGGGATCAAGAGCAGGGAATGGGATTTGGGAATGGGAACTGGGAATGGGATTTGGGAATAGGATCAATATTTGGGATTGGGATTTGAGATCAGGAGCTGGGGATGGGATCAGGAATTGGGAACGGGATCGGGATTCGGGATAGAGCCAGGAAATGGGATCGGGGTTTAGGATCGGGATTTGGGATATTCCAGGGAAAGGGGATTGGAAGCTGGGATCAGGATCTGGGATAGAGCCGGGAAAACGGGATCAGGAGCTGGCACGGCCCGAAGAACCGGGATCGGGATCTGGGACATTCCAAGGAAATGGGATCGGGATCTGGGATAGTCCAGAGAATTGGGATTGGGATTTGGGACATTCCAGGGAAACGGGATCCAGGGATCTCGGACAGAGCCGGGAAATGGGATCGGGATCTGGGATACACCCAGGGAAATGGGATTGGGAAATCTGGGATAGTCCAGAAAATCGGGATTGGGATCTGAGACATCCCAGAAAAATGGGATCGGGGTCTGGATAGACCCAGGAGCTGGGATTGGGATTTGGGACATCCCAAAAAAACGGGATCGGGATTTGGGGATTGGGATTGATCTGGGGAGCCGGGATCGGGATCTGGGATAATTCAAACTCCAGGCCAGGAAATCTGGGATTGATCCCAAATCCAGGCTGGGAAATCCGGGATTGATCCCAAATCCAGGCTGGGAAATCCGGGATTGATCCCAAATCCAGGCTGGGAAATCTGGGATTGATCCCAAATCCAGGCTGGGAAATCCGGGATTGATCCCAAATCCAGGCTGGGAAATCCGGGATTGATCCCAAATCCAGGCTGGGAAATCCGGGATTGATCCCAAATCCAGGCTGGGAAATCCGGGATTGATCCCAAATCCAGGCTGGGAAATCCGGGATTGATCCCAAATCCAGGCTGGGAAATCCGGGATTGATCCCAAATCCAGGCTGGGAAATCCGGGATTGATCCCAAATCCAGGCTGGGAAATCCGGGATTGATCCCAAATCCAGGCTGGGAAATCCGGGATTGATCCCAAATCCAGGCTGGGAAATCCGGGATTGATCCAGGCTGGGAAATCCGGGATTGATCCCAAATCCAGGCTGGGAAATCCGGGATTGATTTATCCAGGATTTATGGTGCTGGGAATGAGAATTCCAGCCCTTTCCAAGGGAATATTCCCGAAAATCCACCGTCACCGGAAGCCGTTCCCTCAAGGAATTCCCAAGGAATTCCAATATCCCAAAATTCCCATCACTTGGGAAAATCCACTGGGATTTCCCGACTTTTTTTCCCGGCGCAAATTCCGGCGGATTCCCAAAATTCCCTCCCTGCTGAAATCCATGGAAAACGAAACCCCTGGAAAATCCCTCGGGAAGGGATCGAGGAGCGGGAAAAACGACGGCGCCATTCCCAAAATTCCGGGATCCGGAACCCCCCCCGAACCCAAATCCCGGGAATTTTTTATGGGAAAAGGGAATAAGAAATCCTGGAAAAGGCTCAGGGCTCCCCCCAGCGGCGGCTCCACAATTCCCGATTTTTTCTTTTCCATGTTTTTTATTTTTAATTCCCTGAATTCCCAGGGGCTCCTTCCAGAGAATTCCCTGGAAAAATCCCGGTTTTCCCTTGGATTGGGATCGCTGGGATAGCCCCGCTGCAATTCCCGATGGTTTTCCTGGCTTTTTTTTGGGAATTTTCGCCCTTTCCCGGTTTTTTCCCCCCTGCTTGAGGCTCCTTTTTCCAGGAAAAATTCCAGAAAATTCCAGAAAAACACAGAAAATTCCGGAATTATTCATCCCGAGCCCACAGGGAGACGGAAATCCGGGAATTCCGAGCTCGGAAATCAGGGAATTCCGAGCTTGGGAATCCTGAGGACCCACAGGGATGGGAATTCCAGCTGGGAATGAGAATTCCAGCCCGGAATTCCGGCTTTTTCCAAAGGAATGTTCCAGAAAAATCCGCTCTGAGTCCGTTCCTTCTTTCCCATCCTTTTCCCCTCGGAGCAGATCCCGAATTTCCCGGAGTTTGGGAAGGGCCTGGAGCTGGGATTTCCCTGGGAATTCCCAGATTTTGGGAAAGGTTTGGAATTCCCGGAGTTTGGGACGAGTTTGGAGCTGGGATTTCCCCGGGAATTCCCAAATTTTGGGAAGGATTCGGAGCCAAATTGGGGAGAGGGGTGGGAATAGAGAAGGAAAAATTGGGAATTCTTGGGAATTTTCAGGAATTTTCGGGAAATTTTAAGAACCATTGGGAACTTTTGGGGAATTATTGGGAATTTGGGGGGATTTTTTTGAGAATTGTTGAGAATTTTTGGGAATTATTGGGATTTTTTTAGAATTACTGGGAATTGCTTGGAACAACTGGGATTTTTTTTGGGGAATTCTTTGGGAATTCTTTGGGATTTGGGGGGAATTTGGGGGATTTTTTTGGGAATTATTGTGAATTTTTTAGCAATTTTTTAGGAATTTTTCCGAATTGCGCCACATCCACAGGGACGGGAATTCCAGCCAGGAATGCGAATTCCCGCCTTTTCCCAAGGGAACATTCCCAAAAATCCCAACCCCAGGCCCTTCCCTGGATCCCTCTGGATCCCTCCGGATCCCTCCAATCCCGGTTTTTTTTCCGGGATAATCCCCCCCAAAACCGCTCCGGGCTTTTCCCGCCTGCGCGTTTTGATTTTTCCCGGGATAAAATTCCCGGAATTCCGGCGGATCTCACCTCCTCATCCGAGCTGTCCTCCTGGTACTCGTCCCTTTCCGGCCGGGAATCGTCTCCCGGGGTTTTCCCGGGAACGGGGGCGGATCCGGCCTGGGAAAAATCGGGAAGAGGCGACCCCTGAGATTCCCGGAGAAAAATTCCCGGAGTTTTTGTTTTGGGAAGGGAAAAAGGGAGGAGGTTCGGGAAGGGCGGGGAATTCCTGGGAAGGGGAAATTCCTGGGAAAGGGGGAAATTCCTGGGAAAGGGGAAATTCCTGGGAAAATCTGGGATGAGAAGAAAAAAATTTGGGATGAGAGGGGAAAATCTGGGAAGAGGAATTCTGGGATGAGAGGGGAAATCTGGGATAAGGAATTCCTGGGAATGAGGAGAATTCCGAAGGGGAAATTCCTTGGGATGAGAACAGAAAATTCCAAATGGGAAAATCCTGGGAATGGGAAGGAAAAATTCCTGGGAATGGGAAAATTCCTTGGGATGAGAACGGAAAATTCCAAATGGAAAATTCCTGGGAAGGCGAAAATTCTGGGAATGGAAAAATTCCTTGGGATGAGAATGGGAAAATCCAAATGGGAAATTGCTGGGAATGGGAAGGGGAAATTTTAGGGAATGATTGCAAAAGCAGCTCCAGGATTTTGGGAATGATTGGAAAAGCGGGATCAGGATTTCTGGGGATAATCCTTTCCCAGATTTTTGGGATAATCCTTTCCCCAGATTTCTGGGATAATCCTTTCCCAGATTTCCCAAAAATTCTTTCCCAGATTTCTGGGATAATCCTGTCCCAGATTTCTGGGATAATCCTTTTCCCAGATTTTTGGCTCCAGGCTGGGGTTGGGTTTCAGCTGCAGAGCAGGAAAAAAAATCCGGAAAAAATTCCCAGTTTCTTCCCAGATTCCATAAAAAACCCCAGACTTTCCATAAAATCCCTCCCTGCTTTTCCATAAAATCCTGGAACGGCCCTGGAAAAGCGGGAACGGGGCTGGAAAAGTTTGGGAGCTGATCTGGGATTAGGAATTCCGGGAATTCTGGGATGAGAGGGGAAATCTGGGATGAGGAATCCCGGGAATTCTGGGATGAGAAGGGAAAATTTGGGATAAAATGCGAAAATCTGGGATTAGGAATCCCGGGAATTCTGGAGAATTCTGAGAAGGGAAAATTTGGGATAAAATGCGAAAATCTGGGAAGGGCAAAATTTGGGATGAGAGAAGAAATCTGGGATAAAAAGTTCCAGGAATTCTGGGACGAGAAAGGAAAATCTGGGATGAGAGGAGAAATCTGGGATAAAAAAATCCAGGAATTCCGGGGTGAGAAGAAAAAATTTGGAATAAAAGGGGAAAATTTGGGAAGAGGAATATTCGGGATGAGAGAAAAAATCTGGGATAAAAAATTCCAGGAATTCTGGGATGAGAAGGGAAATCTGGGATAAGGAATTCTGGGATGAAAGAGAAAATCTGGGATAAGGGAGGAGGGGATGGGAATCCCCTCCTGGAATTCCTCTGGGAGTGGGGTGGGAACGGAGAGGATTTTCGGGATTCTCCCGGAATTCCATCCCAAAATCCCGGGAATTCCAAGGGAAGCCGAATCCCAGATCCCTCCCGAATTCCGCCGGGGAAAAACCTCCGGGAATTTTCCCGTTTTTCCCCAGGATTTCCCCTCATCCCTCGGCAGGAAAATTCCCGGGAAACGGGGTCGGGAATCCCGAAATCCAGGGAAGTTTTACCTGGGGAGCCTCTTCCTCCTCCTCCTCTTCCTCTTCCGAGTGGGAATTCCCGGAGGATTCGCTGTCGCTTCCGGAATCTTCCAGGCCGGAATAAACGCTGTCCTGGCTCCCTTCGGAATCCTCGCTGCCACTTCCGGCCTGGAACGGGACGGGAACGGTGAGAGACGGGCGGGAAACGGGGAAAAAACGGGGGGAAATGGGAAAAATGGGAGAAAAGGGGGAGGAAATGGGGAGGAAACGGGAAAAAATGGGAGGAAATGGGAAAAAATGGGAAAAAATGGGAAAAAATGGGAGAAAATGGGGAGGAAACGGGAAAAAATGGGGGGAAATGGGAAAAAATGGGAAAAAATGGGAAGGAAATGGGAAAAAATGGGGGGGAAATGGGAAAAAATGGGAAAAAAATGGGAGAAAATGGGGAGGAAATGGGAAAAAATGGGGGGAAATGGGGGAAAGTGGGCAGGAAATGGGAAAAAATGGGGG